GTGACTGTGTGAAAATGGTGTTGTTTTCTAAAATCTAACAGCGGTTCCTCAGTGTGGAGACAGAAATGTTTCTCTGTGGGAACAAACTGATGATCTTTGGTGTGAGGATGGAATGAGGCGTTTGAGGACACCGTTATTTTGAGGTTCAGGAAACGGTATTTCCAATCTGACATAGGCCACTATTGCATGTGACGCCTTCCAAACTGACTTCAGTCTGAATAATCTTTTACTTTTTCATCGTTGAAGAGCGACAGGAGTCACAGTTCAGTGATGGAGCAGAGAGGGCGCTGCAAATACAGAGTAAATAAAAGCAGCGTCGAAGGAGCTCAGCAGTGGAAAGAAGTTTGAAGATTGTCAACATTTCTGTGGTTGGGGGTTGGGGCTGGAGGGGGGGGGGGGGTCTGTGACAGGGGCAGCCACAGGGAGAGCCAATCAAATCCGATCAGATTGATACACATGTGTAGCGTCAGGTCACTTCAGGGCGGTTCAGACCGGACTCTGATGGCGCTCAACACTGACAACGTAAAGAAAAGTCAGATCTGAGTCTGATGTCGCTGAAGCACGGGTTAAATTTAGAAGAACGGAGAGAAAAGTGTTACGACGGTGAAAATACTCCATAAAAGGTCTCGGTACAAATATAGTATTTTTTATCGCCGCCCTTGTGGCTGTACAGATTATATACGCTTGAGAGTTTATTCAGATGAATGTGCACGGACAGTCACAGTCATTATTATGACTTCTCCCGTGTGCGACGCTGCACATCCCTCAGAGACACACAGAGAGAGAGAGAGAGAGAGAGAGAGAGAGGGAAAGAAAAACAGGCTTTACTCACAGATAAAGAAAGCTGCGACTCCAAACAGAAATTTTGTCCCCGTTCCATATTTAGCATGTCTGCCGGGGAAGTCAGAAGATCTCTGAAATGTGAAGATGACAGGAGCCTCCTGAGCCAGAGGATTTGAAGTGACGTCTTGATTTGAGAGAGAGTGAATCACACTCACCCCCACACACACACAAACACACACTAACACACACACAAACACACACAGATTTCTGGCAACCCTACAAACCGCCAGCCTTTAAATATTTGACGTCAATTATTATACATTAAGTCTTTGTTTGATCTCGGTTTGACTTGCATTAATCTTTGACATAAGTCTTTGTTTGATCTCGGTTTGACTCACATTAATCTTTGACATAATTGTCAGGTCTGTCTGTGTGCCCCCTTTTTCTGAGCATAATTGTCAGGCCTGTCTCTGTGCCCCCTTTTCTGAGCTTTAAAAAATATATATATTTATATATATTTGTTTTTGGAGAAGAGGTGATGATTTTGGCAGATGTGTTTTTTGGTGAATGTGCTGGAAACGTGAAGTGTTTGTCAGTTGGAGTCAGAGCTCGACTTCAGAGCTCCGACATGAACCGTCAGCTTATGTTGAACCGTTCACTTTGAAATGACTTCTACACAGACCTGAACAGGAAGAGGAGTTTGCAGAAGATAAATCTGATAAATCTCACACACACACACACACACACACACACACTGAAGAATGATGAGAATGAAGAATTCATAAAAGGTCAAAACCTGATTCTCACCACATTTGAACACATTGACCAGTAGCTTCTCACTAACTTTCTAAAAGCCACAGTTTAGATCAACAGGAACCACATAAATCCACCAACTCTTTGAAGCTAAATCTCAAAAGTTATTTGTATATTTTCTTGACCTTTTTCTGTTTTATTAATTCCACCACCTCCTGCTGTTTGTTTTCTTTCTGTTTCCCATCACATACAGCGGTTGATTTATTTCACTTTTTTACGACGAGTCGTGATGATTATTATTGTTACATTTGAATTGTAATCATTTGATAGACCTAATAATCCTCCTGGTAAAACCTGTTGGAGTCACCTGGGAGACGGGTTCTGAAAATCACACACCTTTTGAAACAAAGAAATATATCTGAGAACTTTTTGACCATATATGTATATATATATTTACAGTCTTTTAGTATGTGCTACGTTTGTACAGTGTGGGACACAGTGCAGCAGTAGATCATAGTGAAATATCACTTCTACCTGCCATGTCAGCTACGTGACACCAGGACAAAGTGTAAACAGATTTCCATCAAACGGAGGATTTTTTTTTTTCTCCTCTGGGCAAAAAAAGGTAAATCAGAATTGATCGTCAAGGTCGGAGCACTTAGAATGGAGGGAATACAAACCCTCCAGCCGGGCTGAGTGAGGAAGGTTATGGATGAGTCCAGAGGTCCAGACGTCCTCGGAACAATTGACCCCTATCACTAACACACACCGATTTGCCTTTCAAGCACTTTCCCCCTGAATGTGAGTGGCCTTTGAATGACAGCGGGCGTCGTCCTGCCTCCGTACCCGGGGGGGGGGGTTCATGTTTCATTGATTGTGGTGCTTTTAGTCTGAGGGTCCTTCCATTCTGTCGCAGCAGGACTGGATTCCAGTGTTTGACATGGAACGTGTACCTGCTTTGTGAGTACAGTGAGTGCTTTCACTGATGAAAGCAAATAGTCCAGGAGGCTGTTGTTGTTGTTGTTGTTGTTGGTTTGGTTTTTTGTTTTTGTTTTTTCTTTTGCGGCAACCCGATACGTTTCAGAGAAACGAGGTCACGGTGGCCGTTGCCGACTTCATTTGCAGTTTCTTCACCATCTCTGCCTCATATTTTCCTGCCCCACCCGCGGCGTCTGAGTCGTCCACACCTCG